GTGTTAACTGTCATGTAGAGACTGGGTGTGCGTGCGTGCGTGCATGTGCGTGCGTGTGTATGTATGTGTCTTGAGTGCACACGTTAGTGTTCTTCGTGTTGATTGCTTTCTGGCCTCGGGGGACAAGTACAGTCGTGTGAGCATTTCGCTTGAACGTGTTCGCCTGTTTAAAAAAAAAAAAGTATCACCCATTGATAGCAGTGCCGTTTAAGTCATTATTTTCAATTTAGTGACATTTCATTTTTTTTCTTCATATAAATAGGTCAAGGTTTGTCCTTGCGTCAGACCTTGTCGTTTTGTAGATGTCCTAGTTTTCAAGAGCGAGCCAGACTGTGTGACTGCATTCGAGCTGTGACGGTGGCTGGAATGCATGGCAACGGGTTAAAGAATTATAGATCTCCCTGCTGTCGGCGATGGTGGTGTACTTGATCAGTCAGCAGTCAGAACCTGCAGCAGACAATGGGTCTACGGGCTGTATTATTACATTGTTGTTCTCATTTCCATATGTTTAATTGGATAGGCCTCAGGCCAAATTTGCGTGTTGATGAGGCAGCTGAAAACAGGTCACCAGGGTGCTTTGTCTCACTGTTTCCAATGGAGACATTGGCAGATTTTTGCCAAGTTCTGCCAACAAAGGCACATTGGCCTCCATGTGAATCGGAGTCCCCAGCAATCAAAATGATTTCAAACATTTGCCTTAATCATCGAGCCACATGTGGTCCACAGTAAAGGGCAGTGTGCCAAAATGCACTGTTATACTGCACTGCTATGCTTCTCTGTCTATTCTCCTCACCTTCACCAACCCACATTAACGGGTGTTTTGAATTATGGTCACGTAAAACATGCACAGCGTGGGGAGGCACTCATCCAGCAGTGGATTGACAAAAGGGCTTTTTGTGTACATGTATATCGCCACATAATGGAATGGCATCTTCTGGGTTACTTCCTTATTCAGACCTGAGGGAACATGTGAATTATAACGGCATCATTAACCATAGAGATTTTATTGTGCAGGTTTTTATAAAAAAATACCTTTGATCAACAAAAAAACCCCGATTTTGTTGCTTTGTAATGTAATTCCCCCTCCTCCTGTGGGAACATTCATGTTCCTGCAGTAAAAGCAGGCTTTTAAAACATTCACTTAATGAAAGTGTGACCTCTAATGCTTAATCTCTTAATCCTAACCCATATGAGGGCATGTTGATGGACCTGCTTGCATGTGCATTGGACTGTGTGTGTATTTGTGCGAATACCATAAGTGTCGTGATTAGTTGCGTTGTGATACTAAACCGGCATCCTGAGTTCGATTGTCCACCACGGATAATGTCAGTGGTGAATTTATGAACTGGTTTTGAGCATCCCCTTGGTTGACTCAGCCTCAAATTAGTACTTGGTGTGGTGTGTAAACATTGGCACAGGGGAAACAAAGGTGCCGAGGCATGATCTTGGCTACACGATATCCCGATGCGCCATTCCACCCTTCCGAAATGCTCACTAACAGGACTTAACAGTCCGTATGGCTACATGGGAGGTCATTGACTTGTGTGTTGTCTGTGTTTGTGTGTGAACACAGATGTTAGGGTACAATACATCCCCAGGCCACTGGCCTGTCATTCAGGCCTTGTCCAGGCGAGGCTTGTACGTGACCGAGGAGGGCGACTACCCGGTGACAGCGTCTGATCTCCTCCAGATGCCACTGCGCATGGTGAGTCAATTACGCGTCCATCATCATCACCATCACCACCACCTCATATTTATACCGCGCCTCCATACAATACACCTCAGTTCCCTGCAGCAGTCTAGCCAAGGAGGACCTCTGGTGGCAGTTGTCCCTGTGCAGCACAGGGTGAACACAGCACCGGCTTGCAAGTGGGTATTAGGTTGCCACTATGTATGTGTATATATGTGTGTATGTTGAACTTTTTTCGCACCATACGTAGCCAACCGTACTAATCGGAGGTGCGAACATCACCTCCACTCGGAGTGATATTGCTATGTGGTATTCAAAATTCGGCAATTTGGACCGTGATGCCGGCACACGTGTCCTACTCGAATTATGTCACGGGATCTTTAACATCCACAATAAAGCAAATGCCACCTGTCATGGATAATACATACACAGTACTATCCAGTGCGATTTGCTGGGCTTGAACCGTGCACCTCTACAACAAGCGGCAAACACACCACCGTTCAACTTTGTTACTGCCACAGTGCCATCTCCACCACTCACTGGTACAATCACCGGCCACAGCGCGATGGGTTGTGAAATGTGAAGGGTGTCACGTGTGCCCTTTGGCATGATACAGACTCTTACCGGCAGAACCAGATCTCGACACACACACAAGAGTGAACACACACCCACACACCCACTCCCATGCGCGCCTTCTAATACGCATGCGCATAAAACAAAACAAAACTCCGCAGCCGTTTAGTTAAAGTGCTATTAGCGAGCATCCATTAAGGCAGGCTGAGCACGTAATGCACTAGTGGTGTGGCCAACGCGCTGTAGGCCCAGCTTTGCCTCATTTAGGTGTATTACATGTAGGGGAGACTCAGTGCAGATGGAAAGTATGTGCTGTTGATGTTGCGCAATGCCAGCAATCTAACTTGTGTCACCCAGATTGTGGAGTCTTGCACCAACCCATATGTGTGTATGCACGCACTTACAAGTTGTTATGGATGTCTGTGAACAAATCACCCTGAATAGCCAGGGTTGAGCCTGGGTAGTCCTTGGTTGGGGGCGATCACCATTCGTAAAGCAGGCGTTGTAGGCCTCTGCAGGCTATGTTGCAGGCAGCAGAGGGCAGTGCAGAAAAAAAACTATGTTGTGCTGTACTTCTCTGCTCCCATTTCTATGCCCCTCACCTTCACTGACTACCATGGTGAAGTATAGTGTAATAACCGCCAGGAAGTACGGGGCGTGGCAAGGCCCTCATCCAGCATTGTATTGATGAAAGGGCTGAACTTGTACATGGATATGTATAAGCATACAGCTTCAAATACAGGCTTGGGGACCAAATGCACCGAAACAAATTCATGCACATTAACATTGTCTTGCATATATATGCACACATCCTCTGACTACATGCACATTTCCCCCGGTTTTGTGTATTAATGACACAAGGTTTCCCCTTGCAAAATGTAAGCTGATGCGGAAAAGTATATTATTGTAAATGGAGTTTTGTGCAACATCACAGCAGAAGCCTCCTAATGATTCAACATCACACAGTAAGGCAGCAGTCACGCCCAGAACAATACACATGAAACACTTTTAATCGCATTAGAGTTTCAAAGTTCGAGATGCTGGATAATTAAAGTATGATCATACTATTGAGTACTTAAAATAATGCTTTGATTGTAAATACTAGCATGTCTTTGGGAACATTACGATTATATTGTGTCTAAAGAAAACGTATCTAAATGTCATCATTCATTATATCTTTCCCACAACAATGTTCGCATGCACGCCTTTCACAGGCATTTAGTTAAATTTGTGCAATCACCTTGCCTGTTACCGCAATACAGATTCCACATGTAGTAGTAGGTTTTTACCCTTTAAACTGGTACAAAACTTACACCTTTATACAAGGCATCATGTTTGCAATAACCGCAACACAAGCAGTCAAAATGCAAACAAAAAGAAACAACTCTGATAATGCTAATGATATGCACTGTCCTTGAAGTTGATTGGTCCACACCCGTGACAGCTTTCCTTAGAGCCTAGTCTCCATTGGTGTTGGACCAGATGACGCCAAAAGGCGTACAACTCAAACCACATGTAGTGTTGGACTACCACTAATACGTGATGCTTAGTGAGCAGCTATTAAGACCAATGGACAAATCCTTTGGCACGTGCCGTGACGGGTACTGCAAAATCCCACCATGTCCATCCAGTGCTCGCTGAGCTGCATTGGTTTCTGGTTGCGGAACGTAATACATTATGAAGTTGCACTCATTACACGCAAAGTGCTTGCCATAAATGAACCACAATACCTTTTTGATCTCGTCAAGGATCATAAACCATCAGGCAAACACCGGTTATCCTCGCAGCGGCTTTTGGCTACCAATCGAACGAAGACGGTCAATGCATCACGCGCACAGTCAGATGCACTTTTGTGGTCGTCTGGAACGCTCTTCCTCCGATATTATAAAGCCACTGGAGCTATGCACTTTTAAATCATCCATATTGAAAACTCATTTCTTGAGAACCGATTTTTGTGTTTAGTTTGTTGTCCTTCCCTCTGCACCTCCAATTAGCAAGGTTGGCTACGTACGATGCCAAAGAAGTTCAACATATATACATATATGCAATGTGACACACGAAAGAGTGACGTGACCAGTACCACACTTCCCAGCTATTGTTATCTTTGCAGTGCTAATGTGGAGAATACCAAACATATATATATCCATGTACAGCCTGTTTGCCAATCCCTTGCAGGATGAAGTCCTCCTCGCGCCGCGTGGGTCACGTGGTGTAATTGACAACACTTTAATTTGCTAAGTGGTTAGCGCACTGTGCAATGAACCTTAGCGATAAGTGATATATTAACTTTTCCGAGGCACAATTGTCCAACCTGCACTGCACGCACAGGAAGCATGGCGGAGAAAACTACGACGATCATCATTGTGTGACAGGTTATGATTTTAGGCTGATTTAACCTCAAGAGGGGGCACTTCTGGAACCACGGAGCTATTGCCAGTGGTTTTGTTTGTGGACAGGAAACTAACTCCGTTTTATTAAATGGGAGCACGGGGCTTAAACCTCTGTCCCCACTTTCAGTACTTCAGACATGCGTGCTTACACACACGCACACACACGGCACTTAAGCTGATTACAGTCGGTTTGATCCGTACTCGCAGGAGGACATGCACCACACCCAGGACAGTCATCTGCACATTGCGTCACCGTGCAGTCCACCCCTTTCCACGCACGCATGATTCCACACTCGCACACACCAGCAGCGGAAAGAAATCCGATGGAGCTTTTAATGTAATGAAGAATTCAGCCTCGCTTCCCCTGCAGAACATGATGCGTTCCACAGTTAATTGTTAGCGCGGAACACGGCCTCATTAGTGCTGCTACTGAACGCGGGTTGATTTATAGCACGGCGTACAGGGGAAGTTGCGGGGGGAGGCATTGATTTTAGAGTTTTCCATTTGACGTGGGGACGTTAATATTGGAACCATTCTTTTGGGTGATCCCAAAGAGTGTTTTGTACGTGCTTCACCACAAATACATCTTTGTTGATCAACATTCTGTTTTGCATATCCATTAAACCGGTGTTTAACGATTCCTCCTCATGTTCTTTCACGATGATAGTTATCTCTGCCAGCCCCCGGGCCTCTTTGAGGAGGACTCTGCGTCACCTTTAATGTCCGCTGAGATGTCCAGTGAGCATGAGCGCTGGAGAGACATCAAGCCAACATAGCTGTCAAAACCACACCCATTGTGTCCCGTGTCACGCAACACAGCCTTAGGCTTACTCCAGAAGCGCAGACCATACGTTCGACTGAGCTAAATGGGGAGTCTTTGTGTTACAAATTGTCTGCTTGCGAGCGCCTGCGAGTGGGTGAGTTCTAGTTGTTTCTGGATGATGAATCGTCTAATTGGCACAGCTCAAAAAACGGCACGCTTGCACACGCGGGTTAATCGTCGCTCACAGGTAGATGGATGACTGAGCTTTGGTGTCTCTTACACTGTGCTGTGTGAGGTGTTTTCTGAAGAATAGGCACTCAACAATTGTGGCACTTGAATTGCAGTTTATAGTGTGTGCACTGTCACGTGGCGGGACTTTCCACATCGATGATGATGATGATGGTGACGATGGCTGTGACTTTGCGAATGGTGATTTCTCACTGATAATGTTGATGTCTAAAGGGTTTTTTGATTGTACCTTGTGTTGTTTTTTAGCTTGATGCTCAGTTCCTGTAAAAGCACCCAGCGTGTGGTGTGAAGTGTTTGAAATGATGCTAAACACAAATAATGCATGGTACAACCCGAAAACACATTGCAGGGCTCGACAGCACAACCACAAAAACCGACGTAGATGATGTTCGGAACTAATTATATTAACTTACGGTAATGATGGATTATGTCCATAAAGGTGATAATAGTGACAAGAATTTATTACAGATTGATCATGTTTTGTGGCAATATTACTATCATTATCTTAGAGCTCTTGTTTCCATGTTATAACTCATAACTGTCTAATTTTATGGGAAATTGCAAACTTTACACATAATGGTGATGAAGATGATGTTGATTCCTTGACCGAGGATGAAATCACGATTAAGCGTCTGTCCCCGATTCGTGATTAACAACTGCCTCCAGTTACCCATCGCCGGCACGCGTCTGCCACGTTGTTGTGTGGCTGTGTGCACTGCCATCCAACGTCTGAACTCGGTTCTATTCCCTTCTGCTGCCACCAGAGTTCCCACCTCGCGCTGGCCGACTCCATCATGCAGGCTTACTGCACCCAGCAGCTGGGTGGTGACAAAGTCGCCGCGAGCCTGCAGCGCGTCGGAGTCACGGCGGGGTCGCGCTCGCCCGCAGCAGCCTACGGCAACGCGGAGATGTCCATCCTGCAGTGGGTCAATGAGGTGAGGCACAAACGCACACGAAGACAAAGATGCCCCACACAGCCTCGGCAGACTTGTGCGGCAATTGCTGTGGGCGAGCACCGAATGAAGGCCGGTGTGGCACAGGCGGAAAGTGGGTGGGCTGCAGTGCACCCGGTCGTCTTTGTCTCCCTAGTGGTGATGTTTATTCAGAATTGAAGTTTTTTCGTGACTGCAGAAATGATGCTCATTGGTTTTTCTCGGTGAAGTCACGTATGTAGAAATAAAATAAAATGCAAATAAGGTTAAATTAAATTAAAATAAATCACGATGTTTCCAACGCAACACAAGCGCTCATCATCAGGTGGAAATGGGGTAAAACGCATAGCGAGGGAACACACAGGGGGACACCGCGTGCATAGCACACAGAGAACGGCGAACTGCATGGAGGCAAATGCAGCAAGAAGATGGGAGACGAGAACTCAACAAACCTTAGAAACATAACGCGATGCAAACCAGTCGGCCAACAATACAGTTAGACACTCACCTGGTTGACCACGTATTTCAAAAGACTGCTAAATTTTGTTATTTTGTATGATGTTTATACACCCTGCGAGCTATTCATTTGAGGCGAGGGGAGACCCAGGGCCAGTACAAATAGACGTCACTGGTGCTGGCCGTGAGCAGGAATACAATTCTGGTCACCGGGGTTTGCAGCACAACGCGCTAACCACTACACTACCGCTCGCCGCACACATGCAAGTACACGCGTTCACTCGCAGGCACAAAGGACGCTTTTGTACATATGCACCAGAGGTCGCAACCGGGTACCCAATACCTGTACCCTACCCGGTACCCGGCTACCTGTACCCGGCCGGGTACGGGTACCCGTTTGCGACCCTGGTGCGGCCGGGTACGGGTAGACCGTGAGTCCCTGGTGAGTAACTGTTTGTCACTCATTTCCCAACGTCTTGTCTCTTCTCACAATTCAAGTTCCTAGAATCAACCCACCCGCGCCTGCAACATGGCTTCATTCCAGAGGTCGCAATCAGGTACCCGAAACCCGTACCCTACCCGTACCCGGCCGGGTACGGGTAGGGTACGGGTACGGCCGGGTACGGGAACGGGTACCCGTTTGCGACCCTGGTGCGGCCGGGTACGGGTAAGGAATCAAAACCCGTTTGCGACCTCTGATATGCACGCATTTATACGTGCATACATGGGAATGCATTCAGATGCACACACTAGCACACATGTACATGCGCATACACACAGATGTATGCAAACGTATATACAATCACATGCCTGCAGGAATACATAAAAATGTGCACATACACGCTCGCACACACACACGAGTGCATGCAAATATACACTCCCACACTCATTCACATGCGTGTGCACACGCTCAGATCCATGCGCATGGACGCTCACCCATATTCATATGCACGCAAAACTAACAGCGCACGCAGATTCGCCACATTCACTAAAACATTCACATATCCATAGACATACACATACATTCGCATACATACACAAAGACATGAATACATTCATAACATACATACATACACAAAGACAGAGTTCCCCTGTATAGCCTTAACAGACTGTGGGGGCAAGTGCTGTTAGCGAGCACCTATGAAGGTTGGAACGGTACACAAGGGGGTGAGTGGCCAGCACCACGCCCGACCGCCTTTGTCTCCCCAGTGGCAATGTTTACACACCGCACCAGGTACTCATTTCAGGCTGAGTCGACCTAGGGGAGGCCCAGGACTGGCTCAAATAATCGTCACTGGTGTTGGCCGTGAGCAGGAATCGAATCCGGCTCGCCAGGTTCATAGCGCAGCGCGCTAACCGCTACACTACCGCTCCCCACATACGTACACGCATACAGATTCACGTACACATGCACTCGCACACTAAATTCACACCTACGCAATCATACAATGGTGCACTGCGTGGGACAAAGAGCACTTGTCTGCTTACCCCCGGCAGTTACTGCAGAAGGATATGTATCAGAAGGATCTGTGTCAGCTGGATCGGTTTGCTTAGCCATGAATGCTCCTGCATCAAAGACAATACATTTTAAAATAATAAGTAAACAAGGGATTCAGAAATTAACTCCAAGGCATCGTCTATTTGACGGGCAGCTCGTAGTAGTAGTAACCATGCAACAGCCTCAATTCACCACTTTTGCCAGGCTAGGTGCAGTTTATGATAATTTGCACCTTTGAGTTAATATCCCACCTTCATTGCCAAATCTAATACCAAAATACGACGGACACGCACGCACAACTGAACGAAAGTCGCATGCTTGCACGACAGATTTAATATTCTCCGTGGACCCTAAGCTGCTCGCAACTTTGAGGGATAGGCAGTGCTATGGAGGTTTATTTTTTTATTTGACCTCAAAATTGTGTAATGGAATGTACTCGAGGGAAGTGAGGAGGCAATTCTTTGTCACGGGAGGAGAGGTCATTGCTGTTGGCTGCCTTGCAAGTGCTGCACAATTTCAATTGGCACTTTCAATAAAAAAGGGTATCATCCTAGGCACTCGGTGATATCTGTTGGAGCACATAGACAAGAGTGATACGGAGATGAATGTACTCGAAATTATATCGTGAGTTGTTCCGACTAGGCGTGTGAAGCAAATGGCTGCGCGGGATGGAAGTAATTTTTATCATGCTATTAATCCCTTATCATTCGGAGCTCTTTTATGGTTTTATTAATGAAACGCTTGCAGAGAAACGAGAGATGAATGGGAAATGCTTACCAATTTCGAGTGGGGCATTTTGCAGAGACGCGGGGGTTATAGGTGCATTGCCTGGCCGGTAGAATGATACATTTATGCAGCCGTGTATTCACACTCTTGTGCGTGTGGTGGTGTGTGATAAAAACATTTTCGGTCGTTGATTCATTAAAAAATGTGAGTTGCACGCAGAAAAAGAACAGCAATATACCTCAAATTTTTTTTTTGTAAACAATCGATGCATATATTTATAACATATACGTGATTAATTCCATCAGGATAAATGTGTGTGGATGATTGGTGCGAGCGGTATCACAGTGGTTCACCCACTGCGCTACAAACCTCTCAACCTGAGTTCGAACCCCCACGACAACCCCGAACCCCCATTTGCCTCTCCCTTATATTCACCCAGCGAGGCCAAGCCCCGCCCTTGGCCACACCCCTCTTCTGGAAGTCTCTCGCGTGTTCCAGGAGCTTCCAGTTCGATCCCCTCTTTGACCCTTGGCCCAGTTACGCCCCCCCTTGTGGTCGCTTGCATGTGTCGTTCTATACCGCACCCATACTCGTGGTTAGCCCCCATTGCCACCAGATGGCGTACTGTCATTACACATGCATGCATGCTGGTGTATTTGTCTTTTTGTATGTATGGGGAGCGGTGGTGCAATGGTTAGTGCGCTGCACTACACAATTGACATTTACCATAATCAGTCATGGGCCTCCCCTAGATCGACTCAGCCTCAAATGAGTACCTGGTACAATGTGTAAACATCGCCACTGAGGAGACAAAGGCGGCCGGGCATGGTGCTGGCCACCCACCCTGCCGTGTGCCATGCCAGCCTTCATAGTTGCTCGCTAACAGTACATGCCCGTACAGTCTGTTCAGGCTATAAGGGGGATCTTTGTATGTATAGGTTGACTCGGCCTCAAATGAGTACCTGGTGAGATGTGTAAACATTGCCAGGAGGGAGACGAAGAAGGTCAGGCATCGTGCTGGCTACCCACCCCCTCATGTGGCGTGCCTGCCTTCATAGGTGCTCGTGAACAGCACTTGCCCCCAATATTCTGTGAATGTCTCTATGGGGATCTTTTGTCTTTGTATGGGGAGCAGAGGTGGTAGTGGTTTGCATTCATAATGCCACCAACTTGGTGATCTGTCTTTAATTTTTTACTAGGGATAACATCAGTCGTGGATTGTGATCTGTCCACGGTCTCCCCTTAAATGAGTAGCTCTTATGCTTTAATAACATCAGCAATGGAAAGTCAGACAGTCAGATACTGTATAGCCCTGGCCCACACCACTGTGTTGTGCCCGCTTTAGTAGGTGCACATTAACAGCCCAGTAACAGCCTATCCTCTTCAGTCTAAACAGGGCACGCTTATCTTTGTGTGCATTTGTATGTATTAATGTGGGAGATAATGTAGTGGTTATCATGCTGCGCTACGAACCTGTTGGCCCGAGTTTGATTACCGCTCATGGCCAACACCAGTGATGTGTAATTATCAGCACTGAGTAGACAAAGGTAGCCGGGCTTGGTGTTGGCAGCCTACCCTCTCGTGTGTCGTGCTGGCCTTTGAAGGCGCTGCTCGCCAACAGCACTTGAACCAACAGTCTGTTACAGGGGAGATCTTTGTGGGTTTTTTTTTTATCAGGGAGGTTGGTGAATTGGTTTGCATTCTATACAAAGCTAGAAATCGTGATCTGTTTGATTTTCAACCACGGATAACATCTTTGGAAAGCGGTGGGTATCGACCTCTCCTAGGTCTTCCATAAAATATCTCCTTGGGGTGTATAAACATCAGCACTTGAAAGGTAAAGACAGCCGGTTATGCTGCTGGCTGCACAACCTCCGTGTACCATTCCAGCTTTATAATTTTCCCATTGCAGCACTTCCCCCTTTAGTCTATTAGTTCAAACGGGATCTACATCTTGGCGCGCGAGTGTGTTTGCGTGTATATTTCTGCATGTGTTAAGGAGAGAATTCCGTACGCTTTCTGTCCCAGTACTGACACTGACGTTCAACTCCACACATAACAATACCTGATGACATGATGGCAGCCAAGCACCATCTCCACAACGGCTTTGTCATGACATCATGGCTTTTCGTTAATTGCACATGCACAACAGAAGAATGAGGGACTTTGACGTGCATAGTGGTTGCACAGTGGTTAGCTGACTACACTGAGTTCGATTCCTGGCTGTGGCTAACATCATTGCCGAATAATATCTGAACCAATCCTGATCCTTCCTTTGGTCAACTCGGCCTCTCAGTACCTGGTGTAGTAACATTGGCATTGGTGAGATAATAGCACCCAGGCATGGTGTTGAACAGGGGTCCCCAACCCCCGGGCCATGGACCGGTACCGGTCCGTGGCCTGTACGGAACCGGGCCGCACAGCAGGAGGTGAGCGGTGGGCGAGCGAGCGAAGCTTCATCGTCTGTATTGACAGATGAAGCTTCATCGTCTGTATTTACAGCCGCTCCCCATCGCTCGCATTACCGTCTGAGCTCCGCCTCCTGTCAGATCAGCGGCGGTATTAGATTCTCATAGGAGCGCGAACCCTACTGTGTAAACTGCGCATGCCAGGGGTCTGGGTTGCGCGCTGCTTATGAGAAGTCAGAATCCGACACTTATTTTAGTCCGCGCGTGGCCCGCCCATTATTTTATTCACCACTTCCGTCCGCGCCTCTTTCCCGCACTGTGCACTTATCTCAGTCACAGTTTTGGTAAGCCCACAAGCTGCTAACCCCTAGTAGCCACAATGAGTAAAAAACAAACGTCGCTGGAGAGCTTCTTTGAAAAGGGGGAAAGACCCAATGATGAACACCCCCACCGCCCCGGTCCGTGAAAAAATTGTCTTCCACGAAACCGGTCCCTGATGCCAAAAGTTTGGGGACCGCTGGTGTTGACCATATCACCCCCTCATGCGCTCTGATGGCCTTAATAGGTACTCGCTAACAGCATTTGTGCCTACAGTCTGTAAGATGCTGTGTTGTGTGTGACATTGTTTCAGGTTAACGCCAGGTTGTGGGACGTACAGCAGAAGGACGGCAAGCAAGCAGACCTCGCATCGCACAAGCGCACGCAGGTAACGTGTCTGCACACCTCCGATAAGCACGGTTGGTTACGTATGGTGCGTAAGAAGTTCAGCAAGCATATATACATTACGCAGCAACATTTCATAGCACCATTGATGTATGAGCAGTTTAGTGAGATTTTCATATGAAAGTCACTAACTCTCCATTGTGTTTTCGGGTTTTACCGCGTATTGTTCGACATGATGTCCGACGATTTTCTCTGCGTGCTGGGAGCTTTTTCAGGACTTGAACTGAAGGTGCTCCCAGCAATGGGAGCGGAGTGTCGTACATCGTGCCGAGAAACACGCAGTACAACCCGAAAAAACATTGTGGACGACTACGCAACACAGCCGTCAAAATCCATGCAATAACGTGACCAACAAAATGTTCAGTCGATGCATTAGGTATATACACGTGTAATGTGGAAATGGCCCAGCTCTTTAATTAAAGCACTGCTGCCAGGATCACTGGAAGGGCTGCAGAGACGACAGTGGATACAATTATTAATAAACAAACTTAATTAACATGAGGAGATTCACGAGTCTCATAAGCTAACTAAGCACGGCAGCAGAATCAATATCGCATTACGCTGCTGAATAAGAAAACAAGTGTGGCTTGGTAGTATACTTCCTCGCTTTATTTGCAGTCTTATAGGGCGAATCCCTCTGTTTCACTTCTGGATGAATGGACCACAGAATGCGGCTGATACAACACAGATCATGTCTTCCTTAAACATTTTCAGACAGCTTGCTTTAAAAGTCTTGTCTGCCAAAAGTTACGTGGAATAAAATCTGCTTCCAAAATTCAAACTGCCCGAAGAGCATTAGTTATTCCGGTAATGATTCATGATGTCCCTTGCAATTGCTTGAGAGAGCTGCACACATGATTGTATGAGAAATTACTTTGGAGAATATTCTAACATGTTAACGGTTCACACTCCTTTGTAGCATGCCTTCCTTTGGCCAGAGAATATCAATTAGAAAAAAAAATTACGTAGGAAACAAGTTTTTCAATGCGCACACTTTTATTAGTAGAAAATAAATTATTTTCACCTTAGAAATTAATCGAATTTGATGTGCTGAATAAAAGTGGGTGGCTTGCATAAATAAAATTAAACATTTCGAAAAGGAAGCCACCCATTGTTATTCAAAAGAGTAATTAACTGCTATTTAATTTTACCAGGTAAGACCCACTAGAGATGTATAGCTGTTTTTCAGAAGCGACCTGGCCACAAATGAGAAGCCAATTAAGTGACTTATGTGG